GAACAAACACAAAGTTGGGTGGATAAAGAAGGGAAAGAATCTGAGAGAAACTGGAGAAGTAGATTAATACCAAAATATAACGTATGAAATTCTCAAACAATGAATGCAAACAAGAAAAAGAGTACATAAAGTAAGGTATACGGATGCTTTGGAAGGGATAGAATGAAAAAAAATTATGTTTGAGTGGATTTTATTATTTTTATTGTTTTTCAGTCTTCACAAGGCTTTAATATGTGTTAAATCTCATAATATTGAGTTTGCCTCCTTAAAATTTTACCTAAACTTTCAAATAAAAAGCATTAATTAATTTCAGTTGCTCATTATTTCCATTGGAATTTTCCATTGTTTTTCTTAAATTATTTCTTTAGATGGTCATTTTACTAAAAACTAAGAACATAATTATAATTAAAACAGGTGTTTTATAATAATTACATTCTGTTTAGGATACTATTAATATAAAATTAACTAGCATCCAAATTCACCTTATATTAAGTGAATTTTTACAGTGTCATTTGTGATATAAAACATTAACAACCTCAAGCTTATATTTCAGAGAATCTACAATATTAATTACAGTCTTACAATAACATTGATATTAAATTCAAATAACTTTGTTTATACCTGTGACCTACTGGAATCCTCTCCTTCCAGAAAGCATTAGCCCACTGGTGTACCAATTTAAAATACATAAAGGAGAATATACAAAGAAGATACTTAAGGGGACATCAGTCAGAAAAAAAATCAAGTCAAAATGTGCATCAACAATGAAGTCAGAATTATTTTGTACAACACTCATGGGTTTAGTTCCCAAGTAAATGAGCTTTCAATGGAGAAACAACAACCAGAAAAGCATTGCTCACTGTGTCTGTATCCTTCATGAACAGGCAGGATTCAGGCTGAATATAAAGTGTCTCAGATGAGGATCTGGCATCTTTCCAGGGCTTGTGGATATGTCCACGTTTCATAACATCTTTAGACAAAATATAACAGAAGTTTGGAACTTAGACTCTAACTCTTAAGGTGTAGTGTTGTCTTTGGCTACCAGTTAATAACTTCCCATAAATACAACAGAAATAAGAGGAAAAAAAAGGAAAAAAAAATTTAAAAAGATTTATTTATTATGTATAGAGTATTCTGCCTGCATGTATGCCGGCAGGCCAGAAGTGGGCACCAGATCTCATTATGGAAGGTTGTGAGCCATCCTGTGGTTCTTGGAAATTGGACTCAGGACCTCTGGAAGGACAGCCAGCGCTCTTAACTGCTGATGCAATGGTGGCACACACCTTTAATCCCAGCACTTAGAGGCAGAGGAAGTTGGATCTCTGAGTTCGAGGCCAGCCTGGTCTACAGAGCGAGTTCTAAAATAGATTCCACAGCTACACAAAGAAACCGTGTCTCAAAAAACAAAAGGAAAATAATTTGGTCAAAGTTTATTATATGTACTCATTAAATTCTGAAACAAAGAAACAAAAGAACATTACTTTTCTGGGTGGTCGGGCTGATGGGTATCAATACAGATACATTAAAATTTTCATTTATACTTTACAGTGTAACATCTACCTATTTTGATTTTAGCATAACTGTACTCTGATAAATAGCATTATCTGGGTGTTTCCCTTTATAATCTGACCATCACTACCTTTTAAATAAAGTAGTTTCATCTTTTTAAGTTTATTATAACTACTGTGTGAATGGGTTTGTGTTTTTTAAAGGTCTCAGATGGTCTTTGTTCTTTTGTTATTCTAATCAATATATCCATAGGAGACTGTGAAAATATTTTTTTTTTTCTATTCAGTGTCCTGCCCACCATTTCAGGCAGGTAGAAATTTTCACCTAGAAACAGTTTTCTTCAACCTAAAACTTTTTTCTTATTTGTCTAGTTTGTTTACTGATAGTGAATTCGCTAAACACCTTTTTGCCTGAAAATTCTTTATTTTGCTTGGTGTGTGTGTGTGTGTGTGTGTGTTTGTGTGTGTATAAGTGGGGTTCACAAACCTGTGTGGGTGGGTATATTTGTGGCTATAGGTTAGATCAGACTTCCTCAATCATTTCTCAGCCTTATGTTCTGAAAAGGGTGTCTTAGTGGACCTGAAGCAGGATTAGTGTGACTGGGCTGAAAGCTGAATCAACACAGGTGGTTACTGATACACATCACCGCATAGGGCTTTCACAGTTCCTGTGCCTTTGCATTCGTCTCTCTTCACTCTTGTCTCCAGGAAACTATTGATATGCTTCCTGTCACAATAGAGCACTTTGCATTTACTATAATCTGACATGAATAAAGCACAGAGGATGCATCATTTTTACCTTATTTCTTTAACTAAACATGATGATTTACACATCAATCTAGGTTGTATGGTTTGACGATACTTCTCTATGTTGAGTTATCATCCATTGAGTAGACCTACAGCAACGGCTTTTTGTTGTGTTTGGCTTATTGCTTCATCTAACTTCATATAATTGCTAGCTATGTGGAATGTGTCTACTATTGAACTATAACTAATAAAGCTCCACAACTAATTCTTTTAAACTTGGAGAGGATGCCTACTGTCTCTTGAGTAAAGGCTTGCAATGGAACAGCTAGGTACGTGGTGAATGCATATTTAACTTTCTATAAACCTGCTAAACTATTGGTCAAAGTTATGCAGTATGCTGTTCTCTCAACAATGGTGAGTAAGAACTATGCTTACTTCACATACTGAGTGAAATATCATTTTGTTAGGCTCTTGCTACTTAAGTATTAACTATTCTGATGAATGTTTACGGTATTTCACTGTGGTTTTAATTTGCATTTCCATAATTCCTAAGGAGCTGTAACAATTTTTTTCTGTACTGATTTGCCACACTCATATCTGTTTTAATTACGGAAAGGTCTATTCAAAGCATTTGTGGATTTTAATTGGATTCCTTGTATCATTCAGTTGTAATTAGTCTGTCTTGTATTTTACATTGAAGGCTTTTTCTGAGATAGATATTTTAAACTTTTCCTCCCAGCTCTGTATTGACCCTTCATTTTCTTATAGACACCTGAATGAAAATCTAGAAACCAAAACAGATGTATGTCTTGCCTAAAATTACCCAGTTAATGTGTGTCAGGTCTGAAATTTAAATTAAGGTCTTTTTGCTTTCTGTACCAGAATTTTTAGTTATTATGCTATTTTTTCTAAAGAAAAATAAAATAATTAATTTATGGCAACACATAATGTTAATGAATGGCTACTGTTTTGTAGTTTCAATTCTTGAGAATTTAGTTTAATGAACAACACGTGGCTCCTGAGCACCTTCAATCAAAGACAAATATGGGAGAAAAGAACAACACAGAAGGATGTAATAGGTACTCAGTGAAGAAGAAGAAGAGCACAGAACAAGCTAGGATTTACTATATGGAACTGTTGCAGAAATTAAACAGGCATTTTGTCAGAGTCTGAAAAGTATGAGTCTACAGATCAGAAAAGAATAATCATCTTCAACATGAAACTAACATTCACAAAGCTGTGAGAAGAAACGATATGCTGGCTAGTTTTTTGCCAGCTTGGCTTAAGTTGGAGTCATCTCACAGCAGGAAACAATTGAGAAATTGCCTGCATAAGAACAGGCTTTAGGAGAGACTGCAGAATGTTTTCTTAATTCGTGATTCATATGGGAAGACCACCGTGAGTGGCATACCCATTGGATGGTCATCCCGGGTGTACCATAAGAAAGCAAGTGGAGCAAGCCAAGTGAAGCAAATAGTAGGCAGCATTTTCCAAAGACTCTGTATCAGCTCCTTCCTGTGTTCGTGAGTGGTTTGAGTTCTTGTCTCAATGTCCCGTGATTCAGGAAATGTGAGCCACATAAACCCTTGGAGAGGAAATGATTTGGGTCATGGTGTTTCGTCATAGCAATAGAAACCCTAACCTAAGACCCTAACCCTAACTCTGCATAACTGGGAGCAAATGTTACATTGCTGGGAAAGTGGTTAAGATTTTCTTTTTTAATATGTGCTGGGCATCACTTGTGTGATTCTTTGCATAGAGTTTATTTATACACAACTAACTACAAATGTTTATCTCAGTACGATAAAACTCTGGTCTTAAAATATTTATTTGGGCAGCTATGAGAGTTATTGGATATGGGTATGGGATTTGATGTCAATCTTCTGTACTTCAAGAACAGAGATTAAATGAACAGAAACTGATCTGGCAGAGTGAAAGGGCTGGATTTATGAGATAATTTTAAAGGATACTCAGGAGTTCTAATATAGAATACATAACATGTTATTCTAGTACAGTGAGTGAGCCAAAGCGAAACTGATCTATTAGTTTATTAGTTGAAGATCTGTAGAGAAAAAAAAAAAAGAAGCACTCCACACATTGTGTATCTGGGAATCATTATCTGATTATATGCTTGAGATCTAAAAGTGACTCAACTGCTACCAGAAAGCATGATCTTTAATAATGAAAAGCAAAGAAAACTCCAATATTAAAAAAATGTGCGTATGAGTCACAGAAAAGTAAGGTTATTCTACTGTTATACAATACTGTCCATTGTCTGACTGCCTTAGGCATTGCATAAGCCATAAGAATAGGCTGCAATCACTATTAATCAGAGTACCACATGACAAACCACTTGGCACACACAGTCTGGTAAACCATACATTCTAACCCAGAGATACAAAGGCCATTAACAGCCAAAGGCTAAATGCGTGTTGAAAAGAGAATCATCTTAGTGGTGGAAGCTAATGCTAGTATCTGGCATTGGGTATACAAACCTAACTTATGGAACCTAAAACAATTTATAAAATGCAGGCCAAGGAGAAATTTGAAATCTTCCCAGAATAATACAGATTTCTGTATTCTTTGGTCATAAGAGATAATCAAACATTTCAAGACCAGAAATGTGGTATGGGAACCATTAACAGAGGTTACATTTTGTCTGCCAATATATTCTTTATTCATCATTGAAGTGATAGTTACGCAAAGACCAAGACTGCTCATTTTTCTCACCTCTGACCCTTGTAGGAGGAGCACAGGGTTTGAAGAGGAAGAAAGAAGGCCTGGGAGGATGGATTTTCTGTACCTGCTCCTCTGTCAGAAAAGAGCTGACTCTCTATGTAAGTGTGCAATCCAAACAAGGGATGGTCATTTGGCTTTAAATTCCAGATAAGTGATTAATATTTTTAGTGTAATCAAACCATGAGCTATTTGGAACATTTCTAAAAGTTATTCATTATTTTATTTAGAATTCAAAGCTGAGCGGGCACCTGCATTTCTATTTATGAAATTTAGCAAACATGTTTAATATGCTCCATTCATTTTCTAGCTTCAATAGTTGGCCCATATTCTTTGGAGGCCAGGTTCTGTGTAGCAAATTTCACAGCAAACTTTAGTGGGGTTTTAAAAAAATATTTGCTTAAAACATAGTGCCACCTAGCTGGGACATTGCTACTTAACTGTTTTATTCCCGCTGGTAGGAGGAAGAACAGGAAACCATGCTTTACCTAGTAACACACGTGCCCTTCATAGGAAGGAGGAGAAAGCCAACAGACTCTTACCAATGCAGTTGAAATCCGATTCACACGTGTGTTCTATAGGGTAGGTGTTTGTTGATACTGAGATGTGAGCCAGGTGAGGTGGAAAGGAACAACTAAAAGTTGCTGTTGTCTTTACCACCAGATTCCCTAGCCTTTACTAACACCCCAGTAGAATGTACCTATGAGTGTGTTTATAAATATCTTACCAAATATTTTCGGTCACTGTCAAGACTTGGTCTTTACAATTAATCTTGGTTTGATTTACAGTCCTGTACCTAAAACCTGGTTAGGTACTAGAACACAAGAATATTTTCTCCAAGCTGGGCGGTGGTGGTGCACGCCTTTAATCCCAGATAAAATCTCGGGAGGCAGAGGCAGGTGGATCTCTGTGAGTTCGAGGCCAGCCTGGTCTACAAAGGGAGTTCCAGGACAGGCTACAACAACAACAACAACAACAAAAGAATATTTTCTCCGGTGTGTGTGTTTGAAGAGATGTATTTAAAGAATTCTGCTGTCCAGTATCACTCAGGCAGTCAGAATCTTGTGTTACTCTATAAAATTTCCAACATTAAGCATATCTCATTAGCTGCTTGGAAAGCCTAGAATATTGAATGGGCATTTTCCCTCCCTATGATTTTTCTCTGACTAATGGGATGGGCTGCATTTATTAAGCACCTAGGTTGTACACAGAGACTTTCTCCTCTGCTAGCTTGAAAGAAGTAAATCGAGTCCAGTTTGTGCAGACCAGATATTCTTAGATGTGTGGTCTTCCATGGGCACATGGTACACTCACCAAGGGCTACACACTTCTTCCTTTTTTTTTTTTTTTTTTGAGACAGGGTTTCTCTGTGGTTTTGGAGCCTGTCCTGGAACTAGCTTTTGTAGACCAAGCTGGTCTCGAACTCACAGAGATCTGCCTGCCTCTGCCTCCCGAGTGCTGGGATTAAAGGCGTGTGCCACCACCGCCCAGCACACTTCTTCCTTTTAATTTGATATATGAGCACTGTATGAGTCAGGGTTCTCTAAAGTAAGAGAAATGATATTTAAAAAATTAGAGTGATTTATACTATATATATTCTGGATAGTCCCATAATTGCTATTACTCAGGAAAATGCTGAGAATACAGCTGTTGTTCCTCGATGCTGGGCATCTCTATAGTTCAAAGCTTGTACTGGAGTACAGGGGGATTCCTAGAGAGCTGCTGGTTTTCAGTCTATGTCAGAATCATGAAAAAGTTTGGATTTAATATCTGTCGCATCAACAAGGCATATGAACTTGCCTGTCAGAGTGGGAGCTAGCGGGCAAAATACAAAACCTCTATCTACCATGCTCTTTTATGTGAACTGTCACTATAAAGGGTTGCATTGACTTGGGATGGGTTTTCCTTAATCAAATAATCTGATTAAGAAAATACCTGACCAAAAAAAAAAGAAAGAAAAAAGAAAAAAGAAATTCCTGACAGTGTTTGTCACATCTTGGGTTTTGGTTGACTCCAGAAGTAGTAAAACTGACAACCAAGATTAGCCATCAGGAGTACTATATTATTATTGTTTCTACCCATGCACTCTACTCCCTCCAACTCCTTTCACAAATCTCCACCCAATTCATGACTTCTTATTTAACCATGAATACACACATACACGCACACACACACACACACACACACACACACACACACACACACACAAATACCACCTGCAGAACCCATATAGTGTTTTACTTTTATGTGTGTGTATTCAGGCCTACCTACTATATAGTATTAGATAGATAATATATTAGAGGCCTTGTCCCTGGGAAAGACTAATTCATTCTCTCTCTCTCTCTCTCTCTCTCTCTCTCTCTCTCTCTCTCTCTCTCTCTCTCTCTCTCTCAAACACACACACACCACTCACTTTAATGTCTATTGGCAGAGTCATTCAACAATAGGTACACATTTGGATCTGTCAAAAACCCTTTGCCTTGTTATGTGTTTCTCAGATCCATGCTGTTCCACTGTGGGCCCTTCTGAGAGATATCAGCATGCTAGATTACCTTTTATTTCCATTTCCAAGTTTCTGGCATACTATATTATTAACTGTTAGATTTTACATCTGTCTAGAGAAGTTGTTGACCCCAAGATGGCCCCTACTTTCACATCTCAGACAGATCTGTCTTAGTTGCAGCTAACCCACCCAGCAATCCTCTTTTGAAGATTTATGAAATGTTCATATCTCAAAATGTCCCTAACTCGAAGTCAGCATAAAGCATTTCAGGAACAAACTGATAATGCACACCTCCCTCCAAGGTACAATTAGCATTGCTGAAGAGGCTGAAAGATTAAAAGCGCCAGAGATCTTGAAGGACTTGGACAAGGTAATACCTTCTGAGCATTACTGGATATTTATCTTTGCACCCATGAACTCAAAACTTCGTTGTTTGCCTACATAAGATCTGAACAAGATTAAGCTAGTCAACATTCCAATATATATAAAGGAGGAGCATATGAGTCTTCACCCTTAGCTGAGGTCAGGGAAGGAAGAGTTCAGGCTTGTGGTCCCTCATATGTTGATCATATTGCATTGGGTATCATACAAATCGTGCATGCATTAATTGGACTCAACAGGCTATTAAAAATAAGAAGAGTGGAAAAGTGCGAGTAAATAAGACCAATAGGTTTAATATCGCAATTACATAGGTGGTTTTCTTAGAATCATTATTTACTAAAGGATAAAGTCAACCAGATTAGGTCATGCACAAATAAGGATTACAATCCTCATAAAATATTTTGGATGGAGAGCTTTATTTTTCATGGCTCTCTGAGTTACAATTGTGAACTCATTACAGAAGTAACACTGTAGGTGCACATCTTAAACATTGGGTGGAGGTAAAGAAATCATTAAAATGTGTGTTTTGATCACTACAAATTTGAACACTCTCCATTTCACTTTTCTACATTCTTTTTAATCCCACATTTACATACATGATTTTTACATAGCAGTAATCACGGTGTATAATTTGCATCTTTTTCAACTTAAACTATATCATAAACATTTTTCACATTGCTACATAATGTGTGTAATTATAATTTAATGCCTACATAGCATTCTGTATAATCAGTAAACCGTCTATTTAGCCACTCCCCTATTGGCATATATTTAGATTGTTTCTGCTGTCACAAACAACACTGCAACAATCATTTATGTGATTATTAAATTATATTACTTTGGGAGATAGATTCACGGGGATGAAATTACTGAGTGAACAGGCTTATGAGCATTTTAGTGGCTCATGAAATGTAGTGCCAAATTGCATTCCAGAGGGGTTGACACTGCCAGAAAAAAAAAATATTGGTTTGTATTAGTTAACACTATGTCCTTTTCACAATTAGGATTTTTAATCTTTTATTTTTTTTTTCTGTGTTTCATAGCCGAATTGTTTAGTCACTTTGAGTCTCCTTTGATGATGCTAATGTTGGTGTTATCTAGGGTAGGGGGAAAATAAAAGACATTTGTGAGGTATTTACATAGGCAATCACTAGGCTAGGAAATTTATTCAGTTCCTATAATATCCACCCTACCTCCGCCTTCTACCAGTGTCTCTGCTTTACTCTTTATTCACAGTACTTATGAGTCTCTCCAATAATAGTGTGCATTTATGTTCTCCTTAATTTTTCAGAATCCTTCAAAACAATGCAAATGTTCTGGTAACACAAGCTTTGCTTTATGCACTGCTATTCGGCATGTAAATTTCTAAGAGCACCTGACCCATGTCAGGGATTAGATAAACATGTTTGGATAAAGGATTTGATTAATCGATTCTGTTTACAAACATATTATTTCTGACAAATGGTCACTGGACTGTTTAAAGAGGCTTGGTCTCTCCACCCATTTCCTACACCGCTGCTTCTTAGCATGGCCATGGGATTTGCTGTCCAATAAAAGATTTGCAGACGTGATATAATTTGAGGCAGGGTATATAATCTCAGCATTCATCAAACTAACTTCTCTCCCTGCCGCAGCTAGTACTTGTGTTCCAAACAGCATCTCTGCTTCTAGACTAGATCTCAATGTAAGAGAGCTATTAAATAAGCCACTGATTCCAAATGACACTTGAGGGAAAAGCAATAAAATCCCAAAATAATTCATTCCTGGAGGCAGAGATTTGTAGTCACTAGGCTATAGTCTACCATACCTTGAATGTGGCAAGTTCAGATAGCATGACCTCAATTACAGAGCTAGCAGTAGGGAAGCCACCACACACAACTTGGTGCTTATGCCTTTCCCTCTATTCCAGGTTACCTTGGGGGTAAACACTTGCATTAGATTACTAGGGATGAGTGCCACAAACCAGTTTTCATGAGCAGTGGGAATTTCTTGTCTCCCAAGTCTACAGGATGTTTCAAACTCGGCAGGTGGCCTGAGCAGAACATCCCACCCACCTTGTCAATTCTAGCACTAGGAAGACAGAGGTCACAGATAGCTTGAGTCCTGGACTTTAACCAATTTAGAGATCAAAATGAGACTTTTTCTCAAGACAAATTAAATCCAGTTGTCATCATGGTTGGTTCCTTTTGAGGCTATGAGAGAGCATGTCTCTTTCATCTGCCTTCTGAAGAGGCATGGTACCACTAGCTTTCTTAGAAATGACCTCTATTACTGTGGTCTCTGTCTTCTTCTTTACATCTCTCTTCCTTTGTGTGTTTATAATATTTTTTTAACGTGCATTGGCGGTTTAACATGAGTGTCCGGTCGCTAGAACTGGAATTGCAAACAGTTGTGAGCTGCCATGTGGGTGCTGGTAATTGAACCTGAGCCCTCTGGAAGAGCAGTCAGTGCTCTTAACCACCGAGCCATCTCTCCAGCCCAAACTTTCCAATTTTTATAGAGATAATAATCATATTGGACTGGCATATATCCTATTACAGGATGATCTCATTTTAATCTCAGTTTAACCATTTTGCCTTTGAACTACCCTATTTCCAAATAAGATCACATCACATTCTGAATAAGGATCAGAACTTGATATATTTGATATAAATGTCTTATTCACCATGTAAGAAGAGAAGCAAAAGTGCTATAATGGTCAATTACCCAGAAAAAATATATATCACATATAATTATTATATATTTACATATACATGCATGTACATGATGTGGGATTCACCTTTTTATGCTGTAAATATCATTGGTTAAAAAAAAACTGTCTTGGGCCTGCACAGGGAATATAGATAGTCAGGGAAAACTAAACTGAATGCTGGGAGAAAGAAGGGTAGAGTCAGAGA